CGGTTTTATTTTCAAACTTATCCCATCTGTTTCATTAAGATACTACTTCTGCTCCCTTCCTCTGTAAGACTTAAAAGCCGTATCGTATCACATTTTGATATTTGAACATATTTTACAAGGCCAGCTTATCAAAAAAAATCACATAAATAAAAGCTAGCTCATCAATCTTTAATGAGTATCTTTTTCATAGAGACTTATGTATTAATGCAATGTTACTAACCGTTACTTAAAAACTTTTAGCACAAGGTTTAGCTACGAGTAACGTTACCCTGTGCTGAAGAGAGTTCCAAATATTTGGAGTAGCTGACCACACACCATCGACTAAACTACACTACAGCAAAAAATCATAAAATGGTAAGAATCGGAATTTTGTTTAAGTACTTTCACATTATATCGTCAGTTTTATTAATCTCGGTAACGCTGAACTGCAAAATGACTCACTCTATTATAATTTCTATGTTGGTTTACAGGACCGCGACAGTGCTTGGTCAAGTGCACGCTTAAGCCTTAACGCGTAGCAAAACCAAGATAAAAAGTTTTCACAAAGTCATTACGCGTGATATTTTATCAATTCTAGTGTATTACCTACCTTATTATTCGCTTATGATGAATAATACTTCGAGGAGCTGGTACAAGCACCCAAAACTCGAGAAAACTACAGAGTGATTGCTCACCTCGCTTGTAGATTCAACAACAATAGGGCTGTCTTGTTAAACTACTCAAAGCACCTGTGCACTCCTGCCCTCTATATTCCAAACCACAGATTTGTCACGTGATCAGCCGGCTTTTGGGTAGTTGCATAGTGCTGCTGTTGCGATAAGGGCAAACAAAGGTAAGTTTATAGTGTTAGATTTCTTATCTCAATGTTATTACCTTATAGAGTCAGTGTTGCATTACAGTAAATTTTGTTTTATTGTCCATTCATATGTTAGTGTCTTTATCTGACCCTTTTGCAGTGCTCATTGCGTGAGTACATGACAGATTTCACGTGTTCTTGTAAGGTTACGGCTTACACAACACAATGTGTATTTTGCTGCCCTTCCCACGTTCAAAGTAGTATTAAGATTTTATCTTTCTTTTGCCCTTACAAAACTTTTATAATTACCAATAGGTTGCGTGGTAGTGATAACCTGCTGGTATTTATTTTTACAAACTTCAAACATCTCAAGGTGAAAGTACTGTATAGAGCCATCTAAAGCTCTCATCAATGGGTGGGGAATTTGAATTGTCAGGAAAAGGCATCAGTTATCTTTTATTTATGTGCCTTGTTGACTTGTGTGTAATATTCAAAAATAAAATTGTAATGATTTATAATATTCAAAATTAGCATATTTTGCTGCTTAGTACTAGTATATCAAGAAAAATTCCATTTTACAGCTAAAAAATGTTTGAAATGCTTACTTGGATTTTAAAGCCACATTCCTTATAATAAAGATGTGTACTTAAATTTCATTTTTGACAAATGTTTTCTACATTGGCTAACATGAAAACACTATTAACTTTGGCAAAGTATATACTTAACAAAAAGCAATCATATAAGCATATAAGTTTTGTACTCGATCAGATATTTTTGTTATTATGAAAAAAATGTAGATCTTTCATCACTTCGAAGCCTCAGATTTCTCAATGCATTTTGTGACCCCAGTAAGTACCTGGTCATAGAGGAACTTGACTGATGTTTCCATAGATCTTTAAATGAAAGGTGTATGAATAAACCCTATTAATAAATAAAACATGATTGATTTACCATACAGGGTATTACAGGGTATACTAACTCAGACAAATGAAAGTGATTAAAATCTTCAGACGGATGTTCAAGCACGGATGTTAAAGCATGTGACTTTAACTTGATGATGTGTGCTTTATTTACCCAGCTAATGGGACAGCCTTTGAGTTAGGTTGTAGGACCTATAGATAAATCAACCTTTGTAATTCTTATTGGAATAGAAACTGTGACTTATTATTTGGAAGGTGTATGTATTGGAATGATTATTTACTAGTTAGATTTTTGTGGACAAAAGGTTTGATGAAATAAAGGCAAATTTAATCTCTCAGACATATTTGCCATATGACATGCAGGTGAAGAAATTCACAAGAATCTGTCTGGTGGTTTTTACTCTATGCCAAACTGGTCATTTTACAGTGGAAAGTATAAGATAAAAGAAATTTTAGAAATAAATTATTCAGATTATTATGTTTTGATTTTCTAAGTGTCATGTTTTCTCGTCAAATGGCATGATTGCATTTTTTTTTTTTTTTTTCAAATAAAAGAAATCTCCATTATTATGCGAGACGTGAGTTTGGAGGTATTGGATTGACTCCATGTGGTGAGCAAATAGTAATCAGTCATACAGAAATCCTTGTATGATGGAATTGCCCTTTGGATCAATCCAGATACATGTAATTTTTTCCTCTTTAATATCTTTTTCTCGCTTTCAGACATGCTGAAACTGTCGGTCCGATCGGTAATGACCGGCAAAATTTGTCTGGACCAGTGAAAAATTGGACTTGGTCGGTCCAAAAGACCGACAAGAGTTTTAAGAGTCGCAATTTTGAATTTACAGTCATCATTCGACATACTTCACGAATAAAATGATATAAAACCCAAAGCGTTTTTTCCCCTCCATTTCAAACCTATCACATTCACAAACAAAGTTAGCTACCCTAATCGTACTGGTAGTATCTGTCTCAAACAAATAGGGTGATTTTTGGTCCGACAAAAATCCATTCGGTCCGGCAAATTTTTCATTACTTCCGGTCCAAATGTCCGACCATTCTGAAAAGTTTTCAGCATGTCTGCACTTTTAAACACTCTCTCTCTCTCTCTTCACTTGACAGCCTCTTTGAAATAGTGAAGGTGTTGCAACCTTAATGATCATTATAGTTACTAGTATTTGTCCACATAGTGTCCATGTAGAGAATTTATACTGCATACTAGTTTACTCATGTACCCATGCATCCCACATATCCTTAAGTGCCACAATTCACAAATTTGAAACGAGAGCACTGAAGTGTAGTAATTTATTGTCTCAGTACCAGTATATGTTCATGCAGGTCCAGCATCTTGTCAAGGTGGATGAATCATGGCCGAATGGACCTTTGCCTTGCATAACTTTCCATCCTCCTTAGGAAAGGCCATTATTATTTGCCTTTTGTCTTTGTTTAGACTTCCCTTGGATGTGACACTGTTGAAATTTGCATCATAAGTTTTTTTTTCTGTACTAGTAATCATGTGGCACTCAGTATTGTTTTATACAACTTCTTTCCACATGCACACAGCAGTGTTGATGGCTGATTTTCATGGTCAGATGTCTGTTGGTTTCGCCAGCTTAGTTGGTCACATGGATGCAATCATTTCTTATGAGGAAAACAGAATGTTGGATGATAAAAGCTATCGGGAACCTCGATAAAATGTCTGTGATTTATTATAATCAAACAGTAAAATTTTGGTGAATGGTGAACAAATTTGAAGTTATATATATTTCATAAGTTACACAATAGGCCTGGTTCACAAAGTGGGGATTGAGTATTTCTAAATAAAAATGTAATGAGGCAATATAAAATATTTAAGAAAAAAAATTATGATACTTTCCCTCAAGACTCTGTAGCGTTGAAGGTTATGGGATTCAGAGGTTGAAGAGACACACAGTCTTTAGTCTAGGTTAGCGAGGATGTCAGAGGCAATCTTTGTGGAGGTTAGAAGGGGAGGATACATGACCGTGGGGAAAACTCTGGATGGGAAGGAACCAGAGCCTAAGGTTGCTGTAACTCATGAGGTTGTAGAAGTGAGTTGGGATAAGCTGGATTTTTGCAATCGATCAGTTTGATGATTTGTTGGATAACTGTTTTAACATTTTTATGGGAGCCCTACTGGATTGAATTTCGTGCTTAGAAATGCCAGTTTCCATTAGATATCTGTCAGGTGAAAAAGTCGATACCAATTAATGATAAATTACTTACAATTTTAGAAACTTTCAAAATCTGAATTACAAATAATGTATTTCTTAACATGGGATTTCAACTGGCTTGATATTGGATAGTCACACCTGGTATTTTACTTCTTGAACAATCTATAGTAGTTTGTATCAGCTGTATACTAGTAGGATATTGGTATTGGATGCACGTAATGAAACACTAATGCCTGTCTGTGTGTTATAGCTATGATTGACTTTCAAAGCTGCTTTAGTGTATTCATATTTCAGATCTGCTCTCATGATGGCTGCAGCATGTTTATTTATTTATTTATTTATTTATTTATTTATTTTATTATTATTATTATTTTTTTTTTTGGTGATATAACTTAATTTCAAATAAAATAACTTATGGATTCAATGCTTTAATTTAATTAAATAAATAAATTAGAATTCAAATATTTGATTATGCATATATGATATGTCCAGTAGCAATCAGCATTTGGTGAAATATCTATATTTTATCATGAGTATATCTTATCTGTATCGATGATTGCCCTTATCAGGTACGTTCACTTATTTTCCACTCCAGTGGTTTGTGCTTGGGCTTACACTGCATCAAATTCTAAATTGTCATGGTACGGCTAATGTGCATTCTCAAATTATTTGTCTTGGTCTGGTGCTTTTCTTTGTAAGGTGGCTGAAAGAATTGTAAAATATTCTAAAGAAGCAATTGGAAATTCCTAAAATGAACCGAAGCTTGAGTTCATTCTTTTGTTTGTTTGATGACAAAAGATTTAATATAAGGAATGATATTCATATTTCAAAAGAGAAAGGACTACCTTTACTGTGATGGCATACTTACACCTTGTCCACTATCATTCTTAAGAACCTTTTTTGTGCACTTTTTAAATGGCCATTTTATAAAGACAGTGCATGATAAATCGGGCACTGTTGTGCCATTTACGCATCCAGTGGCAATTTATTCAAGATCTTTGTTTCAGTCTTATTGAGAAGCTGAGAGAGCAAAGCCCTAGATTTAAAGATGAATGTTCTATCTCCAATGTGGACAGTGATTCTATTTTTGATTTACTTTTTATTTGCTGAGTGGCTTTGTTTGGTAAAACTGCAGGTTCCTTTGAATATCAGCATGATGGGATTCTTTTTTACTTTTCTTTTTAATTTTGTTCAGTGTCTGTATATTTTCCAGCTTTACTGTGTAGTTTTAAGATAATCCCCACTCTACCCCACTCTTGTACAAGAAACAAGATGAAAAAACTGTAGGTGGTATGCACAAAACACCTGATATTCTGTGACATTTCACTCTTTTATTGACTTATTTCCTTGAAAAATATTAGTATTTGATAGGCATGATCAAGGTGGAAGTAAAATACACTACTTCTCTTTTAGCGGTAATTTGATCAATTGGTTTTCTTGGCATATCCATGATAGTGAACAGAATGGAAAAATTTATGTCATTGGAATAAGAAATTTTGTCCGAAAGATTTTTTTGTATCAGCTGCCAATTCACTACAGGCAAGCCACTTAATTGTAATCAAGTCATTCACTTGTACCATACTGCCTAATTGAAGCACATCAAATCACAAGATAACTACTTGAGAAAACCCTAGGTAAGACTACCCTTTCCCAATTATTGACAATTCCATTGATGGGAAAACAGCAGAAAGCAATAGCAGGTGGAGAGCGTGCCATGTGACTGACTTTTCTCAGTCAAGCCTCTGCCATTGCTGCTAGCTTAATTAGTTGATCTGTAGGCAGCAGTGTCATAGGTAAGGTTTG